GAATCACCAAGTGTCTCTGACAATGGATGAAGGAGACCCACCCCAGATTATGTCATCAATAAATTCTCAAACACTGAGGACATGAGAGGAACCTACAAACTTCCAGAGATACAAGGGAAAAAGTCTGTTTTAGGAATTCAATTTCATCAGACTTTTAAATGTCAGCACTTGAAGGCAGAAGACAATGAGGAGCTTCAGAACCTGTGAGAAAATTATTTCTATTCTAGAATTCTATACCTAGCCAAACTTAGTCAAGTATGAATTAAGACCTTTTCAGACATGTAATATCGTAAGACCACCCCTCAGGAAGCAACTAGGGGGTGTGCTCCACCAAAATTAAAGAGAAACATGGGCTCCCACACATGAAAGAAGTGAGGTGCTCCCCAGGATGCGATGGTGAAGGGAGAGCCTAGGACAGCTGAGCAGCAGGCCTCAAGGGCATCCCGTCTAGATGGAAACAGGAGGATGGAGGGCTCCGGGAGGTAGGTCTCCATGAAAACGACCACACTGATAAATCACATAATTTGTCTAAATGTATTGCAAGGAGACTTATATTTGAGAGCTTGGCTGAATTAATTATAGGTACAGAGAAACTAAAATTTAAAAAAAAGCAAAACAGACTATGCACAAAGAAGAATAATTATGGTATACTACATGACTCAGCTAGAAATACTATTTACCTAGTTTTAAAATGCAAACCCTCAATATTGGTCTAAAACAAATTATGATATACACCTATTAGAATGGCTAAAAAAGGGCCGGCCGAGTGGCTCAGTTGGTTAAGAGCTCGCTCAAGAATTTGAGCTCTGAGCAACAGCAGTTCGATACCCAGCCCGAGCTGAGCTGCCTTTGAGTAGCCAACAGGTGACAGGATGACTCAGCTAAAAAAAAAAAAAAAGGCGCACGTGCTAGAGATGATGTGGAACAACTGGAGCCTCTCATTCAAAGCAGGTGAGAGCGCAGAATGGGTACCAGCCAATTTGGAAACGGTTGAGTTTCTTACAAAACTAAACATACCCTTACTACATAACCCAACAATCCCACTGCTAGGTGTTTGCCTAAGTGAAAGGAAAATCTATGCTTACACAAAACTTGTACATGAATATTTATAGTGCTTTTATTTGTAACTGCCAAAAACCAGAAACTACCTAAATGTCCGTTCACGTGAATGGACAAACTAGGGTTCATCCACACCATGGACAACTTCTCAGCAACAAGAAGGAACAAACTACTGTTATATAGCTGGCCAGATCTCAAATGCATTGTGCAAGCGAAAGACACCAGACTCAAAAGGCTGCATGCTGGAAGTTTCCACTACATGACAATCTTGCAAAGCCAAAACTACAGGGGCAGAAAACTGTTCATTGGATGCCAGGGGCTGAGAGAGGGCTCTAAGTGAATATGGGGGGATTCTCTGAAGTGATGGAACTGCGCTGTATCGGGACTATAGTGACGGTTGTGCAACTGTGTATGTTTGTCAAAATTCACAGAACTGTACACTAGAAAGGATGAATTTGGGCCAGCCGAGTGGCTCAGTTGGTTAAGAGTTGGCTTAAGAGCATGAGCTCTAAGCAACAGGGCCGCCGGTTTGATTCCCACATGGGCCAGTGATGCTGCGCCTGAGCTGAGTTATCACTGAGCTGCCAACAGGTGGCAGGATGGCTCAGCTGGTGTAACAACAAGGTTGCCCGTTCGATGATGGGCTATGCCCACCTGCAACTAAGACTGAACTTGGCAGCTTCAGCTGAGCTGCCTCCCGGATGGCTCAGTGGATAGAGCATGCGCTCTTAACAACAAGACTGCTGGTTCAACTCCCGCATGGGATGGTGGCTACACCCACCCACAACTAAGATTGAACACAGCACCTTGAGCTTAGAGGCCACGAGCTGCCAACGGGCAGCCAGATGGCGATTGGCACCCTCCATAATGAAGACTGAAGAACAACAACTTAGCTGGTCCCCTTCCCCAACACTGTTCCCCTCCCCCAATTCCTCCAGTAAAATGTTTTGTTTGTTTGTTTTTTTAGCTGAGCCATCCTGCCACCTGTTGGCAGCTCAGCTGCAACTCAGCTCGGACCAGGAATCAAACTACTGTTTCTCTGAGCTCGCACTCTTGAGTGATCTCTTAACCAACTGAGCCACTCGGCCAGCCCTAAAATTTTTTTTTTTTTAAAAAAAAGGATGAATTTTACTCTATATAAATACCTTCATTTTAGAAAATGAATAAGACAAGCCCACTGTGGGGGAGAGGGACATAAAAGCCAAAATGATATCAAAATCAGCAAAATAGGGGCTGGCCGAGTGGCGCGTTGGTTAAGAGGTGGCTTGGGACGCCAGCTCTGAGCAGTAAGACCCCGGTTCCGATCCCACATGGGGGCCAGTGACACTGCCCTCTACAGCTAAGATGGTGAACCTGGAGCTGGGCTGCCATGAGTCACCGGGGATGGCGTAGACTGCAGCCCTGCTGCAGTGGGTTGCCATGGGCTACCGTGTGTGGCTGGCAGCCAGCGTGAGCGGCTGGCAGCCAGTGTGAGCTGCCAAGAGCCGCCGTGAGCAGCCATCCAGTGGCCAGCGACCTATCTGCCTCACCTGGGAAGAGAGTAATGATAATACCAACATGGGGCAGTGAAGCGGCGTCCTCCACAACTAGACTGAAGAACAAAAGGACAGCAACTTGTCTGTTCCCCTTCCCCTGATTCCTCAGTGCTGTTCCCCTCCCCCAATTCCCCAATAAAATCTTTTTTAAAAATAATCAGCAAAAAAGCAAACATAATACTTTAAAAATTTTAACAGTTAAAGGTGTCATTACTCAGATAAAAAAAATTACAGCGACAAAACTAGGATATAACTATACTGAAAGGCTAGAAAGGTGAAGTGTGTGTTGGAGGAGGCAGTGTGTAGTTATGAGAGCTGAATCCTCATCTTCCATGTAGGAATCCATTAATAATGTTTAAATCTGAAAAATCAAGACAAAGCAGGGTATGCTTTCTATTTACAAACATGGCGGCAAAATCCGAGGCTACAGCTGGGAAGGCTGGAAGCTGGAAAGATGCCCACCCTGGCTTCTGGGAATCATGGGGGATAGGGGGCAAAAGGTAGCTAGCTTTTTGTTTCAAGTCTTAAAATTTTGACTCATCAAACTATCTACATGCATATCTTTGGTGATAATAAAACTTTCCAAAAATGGAAATTTGACTGGTTAAATTAAAAAGGAAAAGAAAAATGGAAGCGAAAGTGGACTCGGTGATCTCCACGGCACACAGGCCCCCTTAGGGGCACCTCACCTGCAAACAGCATTGCCAAAGGGTGTGGCCCACATTTCCCAGTGATGCTGGTCACAGATAACCTTGTCCTCACGGGAATGATCTCCTCTGCCCAATAGCTCTGGACAGGGAGCAGGGGGCCTCTAGGGACCAGGAATGTTGTTCTGTCTTGTCACCTGGGCTGCCTGAGTCTAGTCACTGTCCCTAAGCCTAAGTTTCATCATCTATAAAGAGGGAGCTCGGGTTGCTGTGAGGGTTAAATGACGTCGTAACTGGTGGGCAGCACCTAATCCAGCACCTGGTCCACAGGGTTCTCCTGCCCGAGGGCTGGGAGAGCGGCTTCTGCCATGGGTTCTCCGACCAGGGACATCAAGGAGGGTGTGCAACCCCGGGCAGGTGTCCTGCTCACCACCACCCATTCACAATGGAGTGTTGAGCCACATTACAGGGCTACTCACATGCATTAGGGGTCACCTGTTTCTTTGGGTTTATCCAGGCCACTGCCACCGAGCGCTGAGGTGACCATGCAGCCAGCCCACGAGGGATGGGACCTGTGTTCAATTCTGCCAGAAGCAGGAAATTTCTCCAGAACTCTCACATTCACACACACACACACACGTGTACACACACGCGCACACAACTGGCCTTTTGAGGTTAAGGAACGTGACCCCTATCCAGGCTACAGTGAGCCTGTCCCAGCCTCTAGGCCCTGACAGAGGCTCCTACCTGTGATGACCCCCCAGCAAGTTCATGGTCAGGGGCTGTTTTCTTCACAGACTCCTGAAAATAGTAGTACACCACTCCTGCAGGGAGGTGAAGAAAGACTAGTTAAAACATTTAAAAGAGTGATGTCATTATTTTAAAGTGTATTTACAACATGCCAGAAGTTATATCCTTTTAAACTTGTGATGAAAGACATTAGATATTAACTTAAAACATGTGAGGGGAAGGGCCAGCTGAGTGGCTCAATTGGTTAAGAGCTTGCTCAAGAGTGTGAGCTCTGAGCAACAGCAGTTCGATGCCCAGCCCGAGCTGAGCTGCCGCTGCCGCTGAGCCAACAGGTGGCAGGATGGCTCAGCTAAAAAAACAAAAACAAACAAACAAACAAAAACCATATGGGGGATATATGGTTTTTCAAAACATATGCAAACAAAAATTTGAAAATCATTACTAAAGGACATTATAAGGTTGTGTGGGTTTTTTGGTTGGTCTGTGGGGTTTTTGGTTGGTTTTTGGCTTTTGTTTTTGTTAGGGGGAGTATGGATTTTAAAGTTAGACCAGGTTCAAATCTCAGTTTCACTCTGAAGGTGCGAGGGAAGAATGGGAAAATGGAGGCCAGCGGGGGCTCTGAGCAGTGCGGCCAGCCCTGGGGAGCCAGGTACCTGGCAGCCTGGNGGGGGGGGGGGGGGGCGTCGGAGAAAGGGCATTCCAGGAGAGGCCACTGCAAGCGGAAAGGCTTGGAGGTGGAGAAAGTGCAGACAGAGATGGGAGAAGAGGGTCAGGGTCAGCCGGCCCAGGACAGCGCTAAAGAACCTGCACCTCCCTCACTGGAAGCCACAGAACCCATGAGGTGTAGATTTTAGGTTTATCCTTCTGGCAGCCCGGGCCAGGCCCGCACTTAGGGAGGAACCAGGTCAATGGTGGCAACACCCAGGAGGTGGTTGGGACCTGTCTGGTCAAGGGGAACACCTGAGCACAGGAAGGACGACTCAGGGTCCCCCATCTGTGGCCTGCACAGTTGCTGAACTCAGTCCCGATGCTCATGCACATCCCAGGGATGGCCACTAAGATCCTCCCAGCGCAGAAGGCCTTCATGGCCCTTCTGGATGAGCTGGTCACCGAGCACAAGATGACCCGGGACCCAGCGCAGCCACCACGAGACCTGACTGATGCCTTCCTGGATGAGGTGGAGAAGGTGAGGGGCAGCTGCCAGGGACTTGGCTGGGGTGTGTGGGTCGAAGGCCCCATGAGATGAGCCTGGGCAAGGGGGGCAGGCCTGGGTATCACCCAGTGGTCAGGCACCCAGGCTGTTGGGTGCAGAGTGGGAGGCCATTTGGGGGCCTCCTCCCTCTGCCCTGAGCCCACCCTCTCTGCATGGCCCAGGCTAAGGGGAGCACCGAGAGCAGCTTCAACGATGCAAACCTGCGCCTGGTGGTGGCTGACCTGTTCACTGCCGGGATGGTGACCACGTCGACCACGCTGGCCTGGGCCCTCCTGCTCATGATCCTGCACCCAGATGTGCAGCGTGAGCCCAGCCTGGGGGCCGGGTGGGATGGCTGAGGGAGGAAGGGGCCTCCTGGGGTCCCTGAGCTTGGTTTGGCTACCATGAGTTCTGAGCAGAGGCTGGGCCCCGGCTCTGAGGTCCCAGCGACCTCCTCCTTCACGTGGCACTGCCCGAAACAGGAGTCAGGAGGAGGTCGGAGCCCAGCCCTTGGGTCTGACCACTCCGGGGATGCTTGTCTGTCCAGGCCGTGTCCAGCAAGAGATCGATGAGGTAATAGGGCAGGTACGGCGACCAGAGATGGCCGACCAGGCCCGCATGCCCTTCACCATGGCCGTGGTCCACGAGGTGCAGCGCTTTGGGGACATCATCCCACTGGGTTTGCCCCACATGACATCCCGTGACATCGAAGTGCAGGGCTTCCTCATCCCCAAGGTAGGCCTGTGGCCCTCCTCACCCCAGCCCAATACCACCTGCCATCTGGTAGCCCCAACATGGCCATTGCCAGGTGGGGCCAGAACTGGAATCCAAGCCACCCAGTCCTCATTTCCATAGGCACTGGCTGTACCAGCCTGAGAGGGTGGAGGGATGGAACAGAGGCAGGGCCGGCCCTGTCCATTCAGAGCCCCCAGTCGGGTGGAAAGGACAAACTAAGATGTGCCACAGGGTGTTGGAGGAGCCCGTGCATGCACTTGGCCACCATGGGGAGAGGATGGGGCCGGGACAGGTGTGTACCAGGCAGTGAGTGTGCCCATGTGTGCTTGGTGGCTGGGGTCTCAGCATCCCCCAATCCAGACCCCACCCATATCAGGCATCTCCTGCCAGGGGACGACACTTATGCTCAACCTGTCCTCGGTGCTGAAGGACGAGAAGGTCTGGAAGAAGCCCTTCCGCTTCCACCCGGAGCATTTCCTGGATGCTCAGGGCCACTTTGTCAAGAATTCAGCCTTCATGCCCTTCTCAGCAGGTGCCTGTGGGATGCCTGGGTCACTGCACCCTCTTGGGGGCGGAGGTCTCAAGGGGTGGAGCCCAGGCCCCAGGCTCACTGAGCCCCCCATACCCACTCACAGGCCGCCGCTCGTGCCTTGGGGAGCCCCTGGCCCGCATGGAGCTGTTCCTCTTCTTCACCTGCCTCCTGCAGCGTTTCAGCTTCTCGGTGCCTGCTGGGCAGCCCCGCCCCAGCGACCATGGCGTCTTTGCCTTCCTGGTGACTCCGTCCCCCTACCAGCTCTGTGCTGTGCCCCGCTAGAGGGGGACACCAAGCCCCCAGCCCACTCTCAGCTGGGGCCCTGATATACAATAAACCAGTCTGGTGGCTCCAGCCTTGCTTCTGAGTCCCCCCTGGCAGTGATAGAGCCTCCCCAGGGCCAGCCGCTACCTGCCCCTGCCTTAGCCATCCTTACCTGGCATTTGACCCCACTTGAGAGATGGGTATACTCAGCCTCAGAAAGTGACAGCTTACCCCCTAGTCACCCATGGAGACCCAGTACTAGCTACTTGGGTTGGTGACAAAATCTACACATAGGTCCTGGCTCCTGCTAGGTGGAGCTAGATTAGGCTGCTAAGAGCTGTCAGTCAGGCCCTGGTGGAGATGGAAAGGGCCTCACTCAGCCTGGATGCCCACATCTCAGGCCCGACACCTGTACCACAGGCCAGCAGCTCAGCCGCACCATCAAGTCTGCTCCCCTACTTCATCTAGGGCACCTCACAAGGTGGGGAACGCAGGGAGGCTGGGACCCGTGTGACAGTGGGGTGGCCACAGGAGGAGGAGGACACCCTGGCGCTAGTCCTTGCAATGCCACGACGTTGTGTGACCCTGGGCTTCTGGTTTCCCTTCAGCCAATGAGAAGGTTGCACTAGGTGGCAGCTGGGTCCTGTCTTCCTGCTCTGAGTCTGGGGCTGTGACCTTATTAGCCTGCCGTCCTCCACCTGTGCCCACCCCACATTGACTGGTTCTGGACTAAGCACATGGGCAGCACCCAAGGGTTTCTAATTACCTGAGTCTTGGGAAGACCCCCTGGTGCATTTAGGTAACAGTTGGGGACCCCAGATGCTCAGGGAAGAAGCCCCTTTTGTCAGAGGACCCCACCCAACAGCATTTCTGACAGGGCTTCCACTAGTGCCTTCTAAATGCCTTCAAGACAGGGAGCTCCCCAGCTCTCAGCATTCAGGGAACGTGGTCTGTCCCTTGGCATGGAGTTGGAGGGCCTCCAGGGCCCCTTCGGCCTCTCCAGAGTACCTACTGTTGTGTCGGCTTGGTGGCAGGAGGTGTTGGGACAGGGAGTGCGGATGGGGCCACACTGGGTCTGTGAGAATGTGAGGCCCGGAAAGGATGCAGTGTGGCCGCAGAGGCAGCAACTTGTGCATTTATTGGACAGTTTGTCATTCGTAGTTCGGAGTCCTGGGGATGTCAGAGTCTGGGTGCCATCCCAGCCAGAGCTTCCTCAGGAGCTGCGGGACCCAGTCCCTGGGCCTTCCCTCCTCGTTCTCCAGCTGGGAGGCCTCTACAAAGCACAAGCAGGCGTGCCCTGTGGGCCCTTTGCTGGAAGGAACCTTTCCCCAGGGCCAGGTTACCCACTGATGCTACAGGAGCAGGTCTGCATTTAACAAGGTGTTCCTGGAGCCCAAGGGGAAGGAAACAGGAGGCGGGGCGGCTCATTCCAGAAGGTCAGGCATCTGGCTACCTGGACTTCTCCCCTCCCCGGGGCAGGAGGGTCTGAGAGGGTCATGGAGATTAGGGAGGGAGGCAGTCCTGCTACAGCAGGCTGCTGTCCGCTCTTACCAGAAGTGCACACAGCAATCTCCTTTCGGGCCTTTTTATTTCCCTGGAAAGGAAGAAGAGGCACAGTGGGGATGAGACAGGTTCCACACTGTGCAGATGGGGAAACGGAGGCCTCACTTCACAGGAAGTCGGGAGGCTAGGCTTCAGACCCACTCTGCTCACACTGTGTCTGCTCCTCTCAGCCCCCACAGGGCTGTTGCTGCACTGGGATGGCCGTCTGGCCCAGTCATCCCCCAGCCGCCCACCCTCCTTCCCCACGGCCTCCCCACCCTGCTGTGCTCTGGGGGCCATGCACCCGGGGATGTTCTAGGTGAGGCACCAGGCTTCCTTACCTCCCAGCCTGGGGTCCCTGTCACCTCCTCC